TTAAGGTTTGTTGGCGCTGCTACGGCTAAAGCTGATTTGACACAACTAATGTTGCCTTTTTTCGTATAGCGTATGCGTTTAATAGACGTCAGTGGTAGTAGTTAACTTTCTCTATATTACTTATTTCGGCAGTTTTCAGGTACTTTGCGCAACTCCATGTTGTTCTGAGGCACATCTGCGCTACATTTTGATCTTGTCCTGTTTCTCCTCCCTGTTAATATCGGTATTTCAATCACATTGCTTACGTACATTGTCAGGTTTTCTTTTCATGCGGTCGAACCAGTCTGGCGGAGCCTGTTTTCGACTTTTTTATTATAGTAGCAATTCGTTTGAAAATATTTTAGACGTCGCTCGTTTTGATGATTCTGCACATTCATTTGGGCATTTACACCTACGGAATTTAACTGTTTTTACGTCTCTTCGCCGTTGTCTAATTTCAGTTACTTAAGCCTGTACTTCAGTTGTATAGATATTTTCTTTCCTTTCAATGTTCGATGTTCTTATTGCACAGAACGGCAGATCGAGTCGATTTTCTCTCCAGTTGCACTAAGCATTTTTCGATAACATCCTTGATTTGCTGTCGATTTTTGAGTTGTCTTATGTGTGGGAACCTATACACATGGGTTTTTCGCAACAAATGTCGCCGAGCTTCACCAGCCCTTTGGGGTTACCTTTGCTTTCTCTGCTGAAATGGTTTTTCCCTCAAACTATTCCATCTTATTCTAACCAGTGCAAAGGCCGATTCTTTCCAGAACTGCCCTAAATGCTTCAGCTTTTGTTTTCATTCTACCTCTCCTTTCACCTGATGATACTCTGTCGCTTGTATACAGCAAGCCGCACGGGGTTGCTTCCTGCAGATCAATAATTAAAGTATTTTTTATCGGCGAGAGCAAATATGGATGCAGCGACGATCCCTGATGGATCCTTATATCAACGGAGAATTCTATTGTTTTGCGTGACTACATGAAATTCTATCATTGTTACACAAACCTACACACTTTGGGTAATTCTATTGTACTTTTGTGGTATGAAAGCATTATTTCGTTCTTTTGGTTTCTTCTAATGCACTAACAAACAGTCTTCTATGATGTTCTACCATAGGGTTTTCCAGATTAAAGAGGTCATGGAACGTCCGTCCCTATTTCTTTCCTGCATGTTTCTAGTGGCGATAGTTTGTCATCATCTGTCCTACCATATAGCTGAGCTCGTTTTTACCAAAGTGCGTCTCTTTCTTCAGTCTTCTATCTATCTAGCTTTCATATAAGTTCATGTTATGGCTGTACCGCCTAAATTTCTGGTTTGTTACGTCCTTTCATTTTGCGTAATGACATCGAGAAATTCTTTTGCATGTTCGCGGCACCTTTTCACTGACCATCATTTTATTATTGCCTTTCTATTCCAGTGTTTCTCATGACACTGTTTAGATCCATCTGCATCGAAGGCCCATATATTTATCATTTGTCTCAATGCTTCTTCTACTGCATTAGGTTGAAAGCTTTAGGCCAATTCGATTTCGTTTCATTTCTTCCATGGTGCTCCTGGGAAGTATTCCACTTAATAACGCTTTGAAGTGTGTTGCTATTTACGAGTATTTTTTTTCATTGATCGCTTTCGTCTTTAACGCACTTCATTTACCGATGTCTTTTGTTCCTTTCTCTGTTTCTTGTCATTCGATTGATTTGTTTCTCCATCATTTGTTTCTCGAAAACTGACTTAGCCGGCTCCTGTGACATTGCGTATCGCCATTGTCTATCTCGCACGGTCAAGCGCCACATCCATCCGTAACCAGTGATAAACATTCCACCTTCCATCTTCGTAATCTGTGCGCTACTTGTCTTGAGATCTTTTTTAGGTTAGACCTCACTCTGGTTATAAGTTCTGGTTTGATCACCCATCGGTTTATGCCACCCAAACCAAGGAATTACGGGAATGTTATTTCAGGGAGTCGTCAAAGCCAACGTAACCGGCGATCTTGAATGGCAGTTAAGGTTCCGGCAACATCGCAACCGCTGCGGAACTTTAAGTTCGGCACCTTAGTGAGAAAGCGCACTTGCAGTACGGTTCAAAGGCACCAATTATCGAATACTTCTAGTTTGTGATGCTTTGTGCACGGAGTGACCATCGCTAGTTAATACAGTAAAACTAATCTCGGTCGATTGCAGAACGTTTTTTCATTCTCTGATTGACTTCCCCTCCTCTAGAAATTTTTATGTAGCTGAAAATATTTGTCTTGCTGATATAAATGAAGCTTATATAAAATATTTGAAAATATCATCTTTCAATTGACTGCTGCATAATGTGGTGAAGCTGAGATACTTAAAC